AATGAGGCCAGGCCCTGTAGCACAAGTCTCTTACTTGACCTGATGTTCTACTCCCGAATAAAGCATGAAAAGTGCTGTTTTAGTGTTCTCATCATTCCTTTGACCTATCTGCAACCCATTATTACACTTCTTTTTAGATAGAGCATCCTTTTCTTCAATTATATTTCTTGGAACCCTAGTTTTATGGAATATTTCTATATGAAACTTTAAAAGCAATTTGTTGGCTCAACACGTTTTCAAGACCCTGGGTGTCTTAGTCTGCCTGGGCTGTTGTAACAAAAATACCATAGACTGAGTGGCTTAAACAATAAACATTTATCTCTTACAGTTCTGGAGGCAGAGAAATATTAATAAAATATGTGCATTACTGTATAAAATTTAAGAAATAGGAGACTGGAGAATATTTTAAGGATAATATTCTGTGTCAGGTGTTGGCAATAATGGCGCCAATAGGTTTCAGTTCTTACTGTACCCTTAAACTTCTGTTTTCCAGGGTCACAGTCCTGCCTCAAGTCTAGCTTGAATCCTCCTTCTGCCCCAACCTCCAATCAGCATGAACCACAAGATCCTAACCAATCAGATCATGCTGAGTCTCACTGAGGGGTATTTAAGCCCCTGCCCCTCTCTCCCTCCTCCCTCCCTCTCTCTCTCTCTCTCTCTCTCTCTCTCTCTCTCTCTCTCTCTCTCGGCTCTCTCTGCTCTCTCCCTCTCCCACCCGGCAATAAAGAATCTCTTGGCCAGATCACTCCTCTCCACGTGGTCATTTTGGGGCCTATATTTCCTTACATCAGGAAATACAGAAGTTAACTTGCATCATTCAATGTTGTTTTCATTATTTTATTGAGATTGGCTACTCACCATTTCCTAATGCAAGTTTTGTTACCTTTTAAAATTCATGAATAGTGCAGAACAGAGACTGAATGGCAGACCCATTATCTTCTGTGGCAAGCTTCTTTTTATATTTATACTCCTATTAGCTATTTTGAGAAAAACTTAAAGATTTGGGGAAAATATAAAAACAGCTGCTACTGTGTTTCTTGCAAATATCTGATAGTTATAATGCCAAATGGAATGAAGTTTGTTGAAAAATCTTATGATTACTACAATTCAGGTCATCAATGAAGAATAACTATAATCCATATAGATAGAAAGTAAAAAGAAATTTATACTAAGACCTGTTTTAAGGCTATTTAAAGCAACGATGAGTGATAAGTACTTATGTCATATAAACATATGATTTTATATGAGCAATCTCTCTTCTTCCATATTTTATTTCTTAATCTAATATAAGATATTGATGGCTATATTTAGATTTCATGATGAAGTAAAATAAAACTAATCTATTTTAGGGCAAGTTGGTATACCTAGCAAGTAGGGTTCCTATTAAGTATTTTGAGATAGGCTGACAAAATATTTCCATCATAGATGTAAAGAAAAAAATCTGAAAAAAAGCAGAAAGAAATATATAACTGTGTCCTGTAAATAATTTAAAAAAAGTCTATCATTACACAAAGCGAACAGAAAAAACAGAAATGGGGAAGGAGCAATTACTTGGTGCCTGTCTCTTCTGTATCAGATATTTAGCTTTCCTTAACCTGTTCAGTCTCTAGAATAATTCTGCCAAATATGTATTCTGATTTTAATTTTTTTATAATGAAATATGAAATATAAAGAGATGAAGTAACTAGGCTAAGATTTACTTATTCATTCAACACTAGTCTAGTGCTTGAAGAATATCAGTAAATGAAGAGACAAAAATGTCTGCCTTCACTGAGCTTACATTTAAACAAAGGAAAGACTTACAACAAACATAAAATAAATACTTCCTATGATATAGTAAAAAAAAATAAACACCAGGAAAAAGAAAAGCAGGTAAAAAGGGACCAGAAATCCTTGCATGGAGGAGACTTTGTACTTCTAAGTAACATTCAAGAAATCTCTGTGAAAGGGTGACTGAGAAAGAATACTGAAGATATTAGGGAGTTAGAAGAGTGTCTGGGGAAAGAGCATTTTAGACAGAAGGAACATCTGGAGCCAGTAACCTAAGATGAGACCACACCTGGTAAGATCAGAGTAGCTGGAGCCAAGAGAGCAAGAATAAGAGGTAAGTCAGCCTTACAGGGGCAGGGGGTAGATAAATAACAATGGAGGGTGGTTTTTTTTTTTTGCAGTACAGGGGCTTGAAATCAGGTCACACACCTTTGAGCAACTCCAACAGCCCTTTTGTTGTGATGGGTTTCTTTTGAGATAGTCTTGCAAACTATTTGCCCAGGCTAGCTTCAAACTGTGACCCTCCTGATCTCTGCCTCCTGAGTAGCTAGGATCATAGGCATGAGCCACAGGTGCCTGGCACAGTGGAATTTTGAAGACCATTGTACACATTTTGGTTTATAAACTCGTGGGGAAATTCATTGCTGGGTTTTTAGCTGAGGAATGAGCTAATATGACATGTGACATAGTTATGCTCTGGCAGCTGGGTTGAGAAAGTACAGCAAGAAGGAGTGCTGTAAAGAGTCAGGAACAGTAACTAGGATGCTACTGCAATAATATAATTCACAAATGATGGTGGCTCGGTCCAGGGTGGTTGCAGTAAAAACAGAACTAGCTAGCTTCTGGATACACTTTGAGAGTGATCAGGGTTTCCTCACCCTTTAAATGTGGATATGAAAAAAGAGACAAATCAACAGATTCATAATTTTCGTACTGAAAGACGAGATTGCCATTAATGGAGAAGAAGGCTGATATGGAGCAATTGTAGGGAGATCCATAGTTTAGTTTTGGATGCGTTGAGATTGACATATTTATTAAATATGAAAGTTGAAATGTTGAGAAGGCCATTTAGACATAGAGTGCCAGAGGTCTGGGGGGTCTCTTCTGGAGAAGTAAATTAAGGAGTCATCAATATGGTATTTAAAATATGTTAGTGGATGAAATTACCAAGAGAATGAATGGAGATAGAAAAAAAATTAACAAAAGCAGGTCAACAGTTGACAGAATTGGGGAAAATAGATCACTTCATGCCATTATTTTAGAAGCTTCCCCTTTCATTTTAAAAGATAAAACAACTACAGAAATATAAGTAAGCACATCACTTTGTAAAATATGAAAACCATGAATGTGACTGCTTCACAGGCCTAGAAGAGTTCCTTTCAGGTCATCAACAGTATATCCTAAACCCATCCAAACACCTGGATATACTTCTTGTTTGAATAAGCTTACTCTTCAATATACTACACTTACGTTGCATAATTAGAGACAATACTAGAGGAACAAGTCAATTATAGTGATTTCCAGCATAGAAAGTCTTCGACGATTTTGTAAATAAAAGATAGGTGTGTTCCATTACAAGAATCTCCTGTCATTTTAACGCTTAATAATTTCTTGATTACTTGAAAATTAGATTTAAACTGTTTTTTCACTTGCTAAACTTGTTTGGTTACATAAAAATGAATTATCCTTTCTTATATGACATGTTCTCCAGAAGATACATCATATAAAATTTGTTACCACTGTTCTCCTTTATGAACCTGTGAAACCCAAAGTCATGTTCTGATCCAATTTGGGAGATTACAAGTAGTACAGCTCTTTAAATAAAGTAATATAGCTTAGTAATGTAAATAATGATCACTTATTAATGATCACTACTCATAGCAGAATGTATTGTGAAGCTTATGGGACATGGCAATTTGTAGGGACTATTCCTCTCCCACATATGTTATGGGTCATAACATGATGTGATGTGATGCTCATTTGAGATGATATTCCTTTAATAAAGACATCAGTTAGGCATACATTCAGAGTTAATAGAAGCTTGATGTGCTGGTGCACCCAGTACTTGCAATCCCAGCACTCAGCAGGCTAAGTGATGAAGATCACAAGTTAGAGGCCAGGCTGGGGTACATGGTCTGTCCCAACATAGACTGGGCTAAACATCAAGACCCTATCACAAGAAACAAACCAGTAAACCAAAACAAGAGTTAGAGAAAGAGGAAAGGGACCGGGGCGAGAAAGAGTAATGGGGTGTATGTGAATGTGATCAAAGTAATATGCACGTATAAACGAAATCAGTTATTTTGCACAATTACCAAATGCTAATAAAAATGGCATACTGAAAAGAGTTAATAGGAAAAGCAGGTCATCCAAGAGTTGTATATTCAAATAAAAGGTTACTTCTTAAACAACCATGAAGATAACAATGACAATAATATTTTGCTATCAGAAGGCAGATTCAGATGGGTAAAAATCACTTACTGCTAGTCTCTGATAAATTCCTGTCAAGATCTGTAACCCTAAATAAATCTCCTGGGATCTCTGAGCTTCAGTTTCGTCATCTGTAAAACGCAAAGAGTGACATGAAAGTTGTTCAGGCAGTGTGAGTGAAGGGCATTCTTTACTCGGGACAAGTTCTGTACACATGTTAATTATGGAACAAATGTTACAAATTAGTATCACCTGTGCGCTACACCGTTTTAGTAATTTTGACCAATTTAAGCTTGCTTACAAGGACCAGGCTTTTAGAAATTGGAACTATTACTGAGATTTAGATAGATGCCAGGATTTCAAGCAAAGGATGAAATCACAAAAACTATTCTGTCTGCTTTGGCCCAGGAAGGTCATTTGTTCTACTAACTTTTGTTGCTAGCGGTCAAAAGGTGACCCCAAGGAATCCCAGCCCTGTGAAAGATGATTTTGTGTTTTTCCTTTTGTACCAACGCTGTCCTCTAAAACCACCCTATGGTCCCCCAAAGCAGGGGACAACTCTCAGGCTGTGCTGAACACCCCACCGCTGCGCGGAGAGACAGTGTCGTGACGTCCTTCCTCACCCTCTTCATTCCCGGGCCGCCGTCGGGCCCCGCGCCCGCGGGTCCCCGCAGAGCCGGACCGCGGCGCGCACGGCGCACGCTCCGCGGCCCGAGCAGGCGCGTCAGGCGCGCTCGGCGGTCGCGCGGGCGGCGGGGACGCAGCTGCCCCCGCTGCACCCGAGCGCCGCCGCCACCTGGGCCGGAGCCGCCGCGGTATCGCGTGGCGGCTGCGGGCGCAGGCGCGGGCGCGTCCGGGTAAGCGCGGGGGGCTGCGCTTGGGAGACCGGGCGGGAGAGACGGGCGCGACGGCGCGGGGTCTGGGGACTGAGCCCGGCGTGGCGGGGCGCGGGAGCACTGCGGCGTGCCGGCGAGGCCGGGCTGCCCTCCGGGGAGCAGGCGCGGGCCCTGCGGCGCAACGCGTCACCGCTGCGGGCCGTGGGGTCTGCGGGGTGCGGGGGAGCCCGGGCTCGGGTGCGGCTGAGCGTGGACGGTGTGAGTGCGTACAAGTACCTGCTGCTGCTGCGGGCCGGGGTCGGGAGCAGGTGTGAGAGGGTGGGGGAAGGGGCGTCCAAGGCTGTAAGTTCAGAGGAGAACCTGCAGTTGTGGCCTTGGGTCTCTTCGTGAAGGACCTAGCGAGGTGCTCTTCTGGGGATGCACAGCCTTGCAATGTAGAGGATAAAGCTGGGGACGTTCCTTGGGAGAAAGCGAGAGGAATATATGACACAAATGTGAGAAGGGAATGAAGTAGTGTGAGGAATACGACAGCTCATACTCTGCAGAAAGCAATGCCAGAGAAGCAATTTCTGGTGTGCAAATGAACAAGGCAGATGAGGTTGAACTAGTCCAGTGTTATTAGATGCTTAAAGTTTCTTTTTCTTTCTTTCTTTCTTTTTTGGATGCATCAGACCCTGGCAAGAATATAATTCTTACTTGAGTTTGAACAATGTTAGTAAAATGTAGCTAAGAAGATTATATGAAAGAATGTGACATTTGCGGCTTTGTTTCATGTAATATTGTCTGGAATTTCTAGAGTAATCTTTTGATAAAAAGCTAACAAATGAATTTGTGCCTTTGAAGGTAAAAAGTAGTCTGCAAATTCAATGTGTATAAATAAAAACAATGGATTTAGAGTGTTAAACTCTGATACTGTTTTTTTAGTCTGTCAGTTAATACTGAGAAGTAAATACTTTTTTTGGAAAAACATAGAATTCAAGCAATATAGATAGTGAAAAAGAAAACAATTACTTCAAATGTATTAGTCAGAGATAACCATATTAACCCTGTGTTAAACATCTTTTCAGGGATCTTTCTAACTGATTCACTGTCCAATTCAATATCAATTTACAATTTTATGTTACCCGAGAGTCAGAAATGTTATATAGTAACATATTATACCTCAGTTCAAGTCTTGTTTTCTGTGTACCATAATTTAAAGTGACTTTTACTACTATAGTAAAAGCCTTTACTACTATATAAAAGACACTTTAATTATTTAGGGCTGAGCAGAGAGGATTGCATCTATGAATGTGTTTGCCCCTTGTGTAGTAATGACAGTGCTCCTTAACATGACAGGCATGTATTTATCATTTGCTTCATAAACATTCTTTGTTCTCTCTTGTAGATTGATCTGCTGAAATTTAACTTTTCAAGATGAAGTTTTTCTTGACAATCATCTTTTTTATTTTAATTTCCTCTTGGGTTGAAGAAGCCTGTTCTAAAGAAAAGTCTTCGAAGAAAGGGAAGGGGAAAAAGAAGCAGTATCTGTGCCCATCGTATGTTCTCCATGTCTCATATCCTTATATAGAGAAATGTTACTGCATTTTGTTATAAAAGCAAGGTGGTTTATTAAAATACATGTCCACAAAACTTTTCATATCAAATGATGTACCTTTTATGTTTCATGTGTAGAAAATTACAGAGTGGGAAGAGGTTTGGAATGTGATAGTTATTTTCTTTTGCTAAAGATAAAATTCTGTCAAGTTTTGTTCATGCCCTGGGTTTATGTAATTTTTACACATCATTTGCAAAGGTAGGGAAAAGTTATTATTACTTTCTTATGCTAAATGTGAAATGTGAGATTCTATGTATTGAGCAAATACCAGTTCAAAAATGTTGATTTAAAAATAATTGAAAAATGAATATTAAATATCAGATAAACTATTATCTCAAAGTTTATTTAGTTCATATTGATACATGGAAGAAAGAAATTCATATGTTTTCTAACATTTCTGCTTGTATATTTATAAAGGACTGATATTAGGAAATTAGAGTTTCTCATAAAGCATGTCATTAAATGTGAAATTACTTATAAAAACTTATATACAAATATATTCCCCCCAAAAGGTAAAATTTAGCAGCTTGAACACTTTTTTAATAGGAAGGGCTAATATTACTAATAAAAACAGGTAATACCCAATCATAAAGGATAATGTGCTTTAGATAATAATACAACATACTCAGTCATCTGTAATAAAAATTAATTTTCAGTTACAGGTCATTTTTCAGTTAAGAGTTCTGAAATGTCATATTGATCATGGATAGCATTTTACTCTGGCGTCACCATAACTTAGACATAGACTATTAAAATTTTACAGCTGTTATGTAAGAAACATAAAGATGTATTTTGGGAAGTATATTGTTGCGATTGGTATTTGAAAGGGTATGTGAGACTAAAAGCCTGGAGACAGTACCATTGAGACATAAAGTCTAGTATTAAATTATACTCCAAATGGGTATCTCCCAGTTTTCACCTTTCACAGTCCTGCTTATTTAAGTGATGTCAAGGCTATATTCCTGGATGTCTTACACAATGGCCTTGAATTTCATTGTGTCCTTCTTTGGCCATAGGTCCAGTTAGGTACCAACTGGGGGCCAGGGCAGGTTCAGGAGAATGCACAATGTGTAGCCATACCTACTCTTCATTGTCACAGTTTTTGTGTCATAATCAGGACATTAGCACTGAAAGATCCTGGACATTGTTGAGCCTTACTCTTTGCAAGTGACAGGACACATTTTAAAGTTTTATTTGATAAATATATATGCACACTTTTATTTGATAAGTGTGCATATGTTGACACACATATGTTTTATTGTTAAGATGGGTCTGTGAGGTCAGACTTTCAGTCAGATTTCCACATATGAGGAATCAGATAGAGCTTTTATTTTCTCTCTCACCTCTGCCACACCCCCATCAAAAGTTATAAGCAAAGCATTATGAAGATCACAACAGCAAATCTGATATGTACCACATATCCTACAAGGCTCACAGCTGCACTATTAAGTTGCCTTACATATGTAAATGGGCTATATGTATGTATGGTGTCTATAGTTATTTAAGACAGATTCTAAAAGTTAAATTTACTAGATAAAGAATGAAATGATACAGTGTCTCATGGTGAATATGAAAATCATCAAATGGAAGGTGCACATATCATAATACTTTATATGTATTAATTGAAAATTTGTTTTTGGAAATTTTATAGTTTAAAAATTATTTTGCTTTATTTTTATAATTATGAGACTTGATAAAGTTTAATTATAGTTGCAGTGGTGATGCTGCCAAAAATTTGACTTTTTAAAAAGTAGATAAGTCTTGGAGGATTAGAGTTGTTTATATATTTTTTTTGTATGAGCGTCTCATTAAGAAATCTCATTGGGTGGTGTGGTGCATGCCTGTAATTCCAAGACTTGAGATTGAGACTGATGAGTTCAAAGCTAGTTTGGACTGTTTAGTGAGATCTGTCTCAAAAGGAAGAAAAAAGAAGAAGAAAAATCTGTCTGAATTATCACTGATTTATAAACTTCAGAAGATAAGAGTTTTCTTTGCCTATTGGATCCATTATTTCAAATTTTTGGGAACTCAGATTTAGAATCTCAGCTACAATAATGGTCTGTGAAAGAATATATAAATGTATACTCTAGAAAATGCTTCTATCTGACCATTTTGTGTATATTGATTAGGTATTAAACACCTTGATTAAGAGGAATATTTGAGATTACAAACCAGATTATGAAGGTATTTCCCACTATGGTGATAGTCTTGCCTTATGATATTTTGATGTACTTCAACTTTTTTTTGAGTAGCTGTGGTGAAGCAACTATTACAGACATTTGTAGTTAATGTGCAGCAAACAAGAGTAAAATCTTCCTGTCTCCTAACAGTCATTTTCCCCAAAGGTGGTAAATAGAAGATACATGTTTTATTGCTGTTGTTTTGTAGAAAAAGTGTTTTCTTTACTTGTAAAGAATTAGGGATATCGAGCTACAAGAATTCTGTTTCAGTGAGGAAAGGCTGATCTGCTTTTCCTACTGCACAATTCTCAAAATAACATAAACAAAGATCATTTTTAAAAATGGCAAACAGCCATGTTCACAAGCATACTTTGTTTCCTCCTGTTTCCACTTTGGTAACTTGCTTATTGGTCCTCAGGTTCAACATATTAAAACCAAATTGACTGAGGAAATTTAGAATAAATTTCACAAATTCTGAAAGTCTTCCTGTGTAATGTTTCAAGACTTTTCAAATATATCACTCAGAAAGTTAGCCTAGAGGGGTTACAACTGGTGGTACATGTCTGTAATCCCAGCCATTCAGGAGGCAGAGATGTAGAGGGTCAAAGGCCAACTTGGGAAAAAACTGTGAGACCCCAGCTGAAAACTGACTGAAACAAAAAGAGCTGGAGGTGTGGCTGCCTAAAGAACATGAGACCCTGAGTTCAAAACCCAGTGCTGCCTAAAAAGAAAAAGATAAAAAGAAAGTTAATGTGAGAGGAGATTCTGGTAGTTTGAAGAAGGCTTTCACTTTTGGAAGATACATGTTTTAAAACAGGGATAAATAAAGGACTTGGGCTCCTTAATATTGTAGTGTCTAATTTTGATGTTGAGTTTGACTCAGCTAAGAAAATTACCTAGCCTCTTCCTTTTTCTTAACTCATATTGTTTTGAAATGCTAGGAAATCATAGATTGATGCATAAGTGAAGCTGTAATTCAAGTTTGACAAAGTAGCTGACAAATTTGCTTTCCAAAATTTTAGAAAATTAATATGGATTAAGTAGAAATACATTTTAAATTAGTAAAAATATTTTAGATAAATCCTTTGACACTTTTCTTTTTTGTTCAAAACTTGAATTTGGCATTGATTTTAATACATTAGTCTTTCCTCCAATTTTCTTTTCTGGCTGAGTGATTTCATCCAAGTCCATGACTGTAACTGCCATCTTTCACTGTTAACTCCCAAGTCTCTATGTCCAGCTTGGACATCTCGAGAGTGCCACACTCCGTATCTGCCAGTCCCATTGTGACCTTACACTCACCTCAAAACCATACAACTGGAACTCAGGACCTCTCCCCATAACTCCTGCTAGTGTTCCCTTTCCCAGAAAAAGACCACTCCTTTGCCACCAAACTAAAATACTGGGGATCACCTTGTACCTTATTTTTCTACATTAGCTTCTCAAAGTCAACAGTCATCTAGACTTGTCAGTTCAGATCTTTACATCTCTTAACTCTCGTCTTTCATTTTCATTCCCATGTGGACACTGCTTAGTTACTCCTCTCTGCCCTCTTTGATGGACGCTATTTTAGTCTCCCTGCTTCTTTTCTTCCACCAGTTTATATTTCATACTGACCCGAGAGTGTATTTTCCAAATCTTCAGTCTAGTCAGGTCATTCCAATATTGAGAGCCCTTTACAGGACTCCTTACCTTTCTGAATAAGACTCTAATTTCTTGACTCCACTCACAAGGCTCTTCATAAACTGGCCTCTGCCATCTCCAGAAGTACCTTGTCCATGTTGGCTCCTTCACAACCTCAACATACACATGAAACATGGTTCATCCATACTTGCTTTTTTTTAATCTCTGTGTTCTTCCTTTTACCTGAAATACCAGTTCTTTCCCCCATTTTTAGTTAACACCTGACCACATGGTTTTGCCCAAATTCATGGCTATTAATATAATTTATTCATTACTGATTCCTCAGGCTGTGTGTCTAACCTAGAGCTCCCTGAATACCACCAGAGCTATCCAGCCTATCTCATAATGACCTCAAACTCAACTCAAATGTAAGCCCTATTACCCCTTTTGGAAAACCTTTCCTGATGTTTTATGAGGTGCTGGTGATTGAGCTCAGGGTGCCACACAGCTAGGCAAGTGCTCTAGTCTGGAGTTATACCTCCAGCTCCCTTTCCTAGTCTTTGGCTGGCTGATTTGGATAATCACATTCTGTACCTCCATGGTTTTCTACTTGCTTCTCATGTTCATGATACCTTATGGTATCTATCAGTTGTAACTGAGTGCTTTCCCACTAAAAAGTAAACTCCTTAAGAGAAGTGTCTTATTTGACCCAATCACCAGAGAACAACAGTTCCTGGCACAAAATATACATCTTATAAAAACTTAAAAGAGTGAACAAAACCCTAAATATCTTCGTTTAACTCTTTTTGGGCCATTATATCAGATTTTTCTAAGTTACTTGAAAATGACACATATTCCTATAGATAGTATTTAGAAATATGGCTTCAATATCAGGAAAACTAGATATGTTAACAATTAGGTAATTGGTGGGACATTTTCCTCCTGGATTCTGTTTCCTCATGGAATTTTGGCCTCATTGTATTCAGTATGTCATCAAGGGCTAAAATCAAACCATAAAGAGGAAATACCCAAACTGAGGATGTATGATGTTGAGACCTGTAGTGAATGTGTGAGACAGAATAGGCTCCAATATGACCCTAAAGGGATCAAGTGAGGGACTTGGTGTGACACGACTGAG